AGGTATGGCATGCAAGAAAAAACTGTAAATGGGTCTCATTCCAAGATGTTGTATTTAATGCATGCTTGACCCCAGTTCCAATTATAGTATTTCATATATGAAATACAGTTCACAGCCATATCCAGAACTTAGTGCTTAAGATCTGCACAAAATGAGGATAGCCATAAGAAATGTATTACTGAAAATCTCCTCGATATAACCTGGCAGTGATTTGATTTATTGTTGCCTTGATTCAAAAAGTGATGATTTTTTCCTTTTCGCAAGGAAATAAAAGCATCCTTTGACCTATTCTGTGGGCAAGGGAGCTGTGTCCGTGTGGTTATGTTTTTGTTAGTGTGCCAATGCCTATTATTTTTAAAAGTCCTTTTCAGGTCAGTATTTTGACTGTTGGTGGTAAACATATCCTTGCTCTCTACATACCATCAGTGTAAAGTGCACATGGCAGACAAAGATACCATTATTGTGAGCAGAAAATTGGATCCAAGAACAAGCATTTCTATGGTTCAGCAAATAATTTTCCAACCTGGAATGGGAACTTCTGATTACTGCAGGCATTGCCATTAATTCTTCTCTGATCTCACCACAACTTGCATTTAAACCACTGTGATTTATTAGTTATCACTCAGCTATTCTGAGAAGCCGGCCTGTAAAGGTCAAAAGACAACACACCTGGGGAGCAAGGCTACAAAGAGCAGAAAGGAGTTGTCGCCTTGCCCTATAATGACACCTACAAGCAGCCAGTGCAGCCACAAACACTGGTGGTGCTCTCTGGGGAGAAAATACAGCCAGCTCAGTTAAGGAGGCACTGGCACGTTGATGAGAGTTTAAGGCTAAAACCTCTGGTGGAAACCCAGGAGGAGCACAGCAGTGAAAAATACCTCCTGCTTTCCCTTGGCATTACTCTCCACTGGAGCACAGGTGCCCCCACTTGGTGTACTTACTGATGACTGACAGCCAGTGAGACCAGAAAGCCAAACCAGGGCAACTCGCCTGCAAATTCTGTGCATGACCGAGGCTAAAGTAAAAAGGACAGCTTCTAGTGGAGTGTGACATACCTCTACAAAATATAAGGTCCCCATGGCAAATAGCTTGCCAGAATGTGGCTTGAGTGGTTGGTCATTTTTAGCTGATGCTTTAGGATGATGCACATGGAAAATTCATAGAATATGGGCAAATAAGAGTGAAATGTTCTGTGAGACAACTGCATGTGTTAGTCTGTATTCAAAGTACTGTTTCTCTCATGCACAAGTAAAAGCTTGGAATAAGCAGAGCTTTCATGTACAGTCGGGGTGTCCAACTTCTCAGCGGCCAAATGCTGTATGTTCCGCAGGCTGCAGACCCCCCCAGACTGCATGCCAGGAAGGACTCCATCCTCCACTATGTAGACTGTCCAGACTCCCTGAACTCTCCTGCCATGTAGGCTACATGAACTCCCTGTCCCACAGTGAGGCTACACTGTACTCCTCAGGGCAGGAAGCAGAAGCCAGATGAGGGAGGAGGAGCCCAAAGACCCTGGCAGCATCTGTGGGGGCAGTGGGGGGAATGGCGACCAGGTGGGAGTCCACAGGCCCCAAATGAATACCTCCTGGGCCACAAATGAGATAGTTCTCATGTCCAGAATCCTCTCCTTAGTAGGTTTGATGCTGAACACCCTAGTACTCAAGGGTTTAACTGAAAATGATTTTACACATCAAGTGATATACACTAAAATACCTCTTTCCCTTAAGCATGTCCCATGGTCCAACTAATTCTGCACTCAGCCTTCCCACAGATTCTGCTAGCCCTGGCCGCTGGGACCTTGGACCCTTCTCCAGCCTGGGAAAAATCCAAAGACCCTGCCCAGTTTACAAACAGCCCTCATAATATCTCCAGGCCAACCTCCCCTGCCCATAAGCACTATTCTAATTGCTCAGGAATATCTAGGATCTTCCTTGGAACATCCGTCTTTTCTCTGCCTGACGTACCATTTCTCTCAGATGCCTTTGCTATACAGGAGTTGATTTCCCCATTGCAGGCAGACAATGCCTTGGGTGCCCAACCCAATAATCGGTGTGTGCCTGGAAGTAGCAGTTGTCTTTGCCCTACTTAGCAAGTTACTTAGCAGTGCTGACTAGTCTCTTTTTCCTTTGGCTAAACCATGATCCAAATGATAAAGATGTACATACACAGCACACCATCATCTTTATAGTGATAAAAGCAATGTAAATAGATTCAACAGAACATTGCCTTTTCAATAAGACCACATGCACCATGTCAATGAAATAAACATAAGAAACCATTCATGACA